GGCCCACAGACTGGAACAGGACATTATTTATTCATGGCATACCACGAGCAAAGTAACTTAACCCGAATCGCCTGTGCTATATCCATGTCATTTTTGACCGTGGACGGGAACGTGAAGTCCATTCAGCTTTTTCTGAGAGTAGATGTGCGCACAGCTTCTCATATGGTACTACAACCAACACTGGCCTATTAGTTAGAATGATGATCGTCAGCTCTTTTATTTGCTGTAAAGTCTTGAAAGACAGACACATAGAGCGGCCATAACTGGGTAAGTGGACTTCTTCGTAATTATCAAGCGGAGGCCTACGCATTTATCGGATCACAAGGAAAGCTAAATAATTGGGGCATATAGTTTGACTCGCTGGCACATGCTGGAACCATTTGCTTGTTTACATGTGCACACAACTTCTGTGTACAAATGCATTGAAGAAGTGGAAGGTTTGTTGGGTTACTCATTTCAGAACATTGCAATAACAAATGAACACAAATCCCGATGACCCCCGCACCTACTCCGTGCATGGCCAACGTACTGAGTCGGTTCCGTAGCAGCACGAGGCTTTTCATTGTGATAAGTTGTAAATATTATGGGTCTTTGGCCATGATCAGCCGAAAACGGGTTGACCCCGGCTTTGTCTCAACTCTGTAGCAGGTTTACTGAAAGTCCATTTCACTCAATATTTCCTTGGTAACTGAATGCTAACGACTCTATATTGTTTGTAAAAAATGTCCGAGCAGTGCAACGAAATACATGTATACCAATATGTTTGGTCTTCTGTTAAACTGCGGTATCATGCCTTCGTAATATGGACCTATCTGAAGGTGTATTTTGAAATTTAGACTTCATGAAACGCTGATTTATGTATCATGGAGAACATGTCAAAGGAGAGAGGGTTTCGTTGACGCGGGAAAAGGGACACCTGTACGCGCAATTGTACGCACCTGTACTGACATCATGTCTCATCGTGTAATAATATACGTGTCACTGAGCAACGGAGAATAAAGAGGTTGGTGGTCAATAATTAACACACTACGTACTGTAAGTGGCATATTAGAAGCCAATCATGCCAGCTTCAGGATTTTTTTATGCTTTAGTGTGCAACACATCAAATAGCTCAGCACCTAGCTGTATTAAACCTGAGACAGGAAAAAATGCAACTTGTTGATGTGCAATCTTGTGAATATGGGAGAACCGTAAAGTCAGTAGCTGCCATGACAGCGTTATTCCTCCCGTTTCCGACATTTCCTAGATTGTCTGATAGTTTGATAGTTTTCAAACCTCTTTCGTTTATTATCAGTTGTTTCGTTGATGATCGTCGATGTCTGCAATTCTATTTGCCACTTTGTTTGTAATTTATTTTCATTGAACTGTTTGTGGTATAGAATACTTATTGCCATGGGGGTCGCTGGGAGAGGACAAGGGGGTGCATGTTCCATCCAGACACAAAAAAATAGAAAGAAAGGGAACAAGGACATGATAAAGCTAAATAAACGAAGAAGGAAAGGAGAAAAGGGAATGACATTGACCCCATCCAACGTAAATCGTTTGTCAGTTTGCTGCTGACGAGTGCTTTGCCTCTTTGAAAAATCACGGCTACGACCATGGTTTTCGCCACTTTTGCGCAACGTTTGAAGACGCTGCTTACAAAGTTAAGAGACAGGCGCGTGCTGTATCTAAAAGAGAGTCCCTGATGCATCGTTTTTGTTACACAATTGTGTGGGGATACACCTTGTGCTTCAGTCTTATGGGAAAATAGTTTTATTGCCAGTCTTGAGGGGACTAGCTTCACGCTTCGTGGACGCATCCTTTGTTGAAATGTCGGACCTCCCTTAAAAAAAACCTACAGCGTCATTATTATAGCCTTCATTCAAGTCGTATTTTCCCCGGTGTGTTGTGTAAAAAAAAATAAAAAATAAAAAATCGCGTCCCGGATATCATCACTGACCGCTTTAGTAATTAACCCTACATAGCTACATGTTTTAATCACCCAAATTAGTTTTTTTTAATGTTCTGGTAATCTTCTGGTAACCATACCGTATGTGGATTTATAAGTGTGACTGAAGTATTTTACAGATTTGTATAAGCTCCCATTGACATGGTTTCTTACATATTGCCTGTGAGTAAATTTACATGTATGTGTAGCACATGCGGGAAAAATAAGTATTCTGTCCTGACTTACGCTATAGTGTGTATGTAGTAAACTGGGTCGAACAGTAAGACATGCATTTACTATCTGGTGTTGAAGCAGATGTAGAGCTCTGTTTTTATTCTTGAAACACAAGTCAGTTGAAGCTTTTGAACTTTAGAATTGACGAAAAGAATGTATAGAAGGGAAATGGGAATGATAAAGAAGCTACATGTATTCGGCCATGTCTTGTATTCAAACGGTCATTTCTTTTGGCAACTAACATAACTGGAAGAAAGCAAAGAAATACAAATAATGAAGCCCATAAACAAGCAACCCCCCCAAAAAAAAAACAAGCAACATAGACATAAAAGAAAACCTGATGCAAACGAATTTTTTTTACGAGAGTGGAGAGCTGGCGTGAAAATTTAACTCCATATTGGACAAGTTGAAGTTTGTTCCCTTTGGTTGTCAACTAAAACGCTAATTAAAAGGTGTTTAGTTAAAAGTTTCAAATGCTTTATTTACAGTTGACATAGGCCTATTTAGCTTTCACCCTAAATAAAAACTCATCCTGCTTGAGTTTGGTGACAAGTGTAAAACGTATAACAAACTGCAGTTTCCATGAAGATTTCAGGCCAGTAAAAACTCAAGCCAGTTTCAGGTCTAAAAGTCTCTGCGCAGAACTGCTGGCTTGTATTTTTGAACAACATGCACAAAATGAGGCCCTCCGAACGGCGTGTCGGCATTATTTTTTTTTTAAGCGATGGGCTTCAGAATTGTATAGGCCTATAAGGGTGATCATCTTGGATCGAAATATCTTCCAAAATCATAGTTAAAGGTTAATCCACTAACAATTAATAGAAAATGAAAAGATGAGGAAATTAAACTCTTATTTGATGCTTGTCTCCACACCTGAGCAGCTTGTACGTTTGATGTTGGTGTGGGCAGTGGCGTAAATTTGTGCCGGGATTTGGGGGATGAGGGGTTGGGGACGGGGGGATGACTTGCCCCACGATGGAAATTTGAAAAGCAGCCAGATAACACCAGATCAGTGGCTGACACTCTCACTTTACGAATATGGCATCCTCTTGGCTAAACTTATATGGAAAGGTGTTCTTATGTCAGTTCTTGCCTGTCCTGTATGATAACAAGCACAGGAGACACGTGCGGAATATGTATTTTTCCATACAATGTATCCACGTATCGAAGGCGGTGATATATAGACGCCCATTGATTGGTCACGATATGCAGATTAGTTGCCTGATGTTGAAGGTCTTGTGCTTAATCAGTCAGCTGAATTTGCGTAGCAAACGTCTAATCCAAACGTAGACGATGCTGAAAAGTGTTTGCAAAATTGAATGTTTTAACCACTTTATACCAACCTCCCTTAGGCCTATGCACATTTTAAAGCACACTCACTTTATGTTTTTTTTTGGGGGGGGTTGAAATATCGATAGGCCTATAGTATTGCAAACAGTGGTGCAACTACAGGAGAGACACGCGGCACTTGCCGCTTCCCCCCACCCCGAGGGAATTTTCTAACCCTGTGCACCCTTGCCCTATTCAAATTTTGGAATGTACACAATCTCTGCACAAGTCGCAGATCATTTGCTTGGCAGTGCTCCCTTGAAGAATGTAGGCACTTCTTAGTTCCCCTCAGATATTCCACTTTACAAATGACGTCACTAATTGTAAAATGAAGGTCGAATTTTTGGTGCAATTTGATAGTAAAAATGTGGCGGGTGGGCCGTTGCCAGTTGTTTTGCCCGGCAGTTTGCGTGCAGATTTTTAATTCTTAATGATTTTTTTTATGAAATCATTAAAAATTCAAGATTTGTTTGTGAGGTTATAAGCAGTGTAATTAGCTTTCAGTGAATTATTTACTCCAACATGACCGAAAATTGTCCAACTCAAGTTTCCATTCTGTTAATATTCTCCATCTTGAACTCACGTCAGTCTTGGGGTTTTAGCGTGACAGATTGGTGTCTATATGGTTCTGCGTTCTGTTTCATTCAGTAATGAATGCACAGGGTGTGAACGCGTTTATATACTTTCTGACAAAAATAATGCAAGGTTTGCTACCTATTCCTATAATCGAGTGCATCCCAGTAACGGGAAAGATGAAGATTGTCGGTACGTGACTAATCCGTAATACATTCCAAAAATAATGCAAAACTGTCAGTGGACGTAGTTTCTATTGGGAACTGCTGACAGGTATTGGCAGAGGCTACTTGGAGTGGTATTTGCCTAACCACACCAAGACGAAAGGGTATTCAGTAAATAAACAGAGAAAGCTCTGAGGAATTGCTGTCCACAACCAAAAACGTGCATATGCACGTTCCCACCAAGGGTGGATCCAAGGGAGGTCCAACGGGGTCCATGCCCCCCCCCAAAAAAATGAACAACAAAGAAAGGCGAAGATAATATGCTGTATTTCCTTCCCTTTATTCCGAAAGCCAGTAAAAGCACCAAAATGTAGCTTTAATCCTCAGAAATTCAGTACAAGGTTATATTTAAGATAAAATGGTCCCGAACAAACTTCGTCCCACATAACGAACTTTGTATCGAGAATTTATCCCAAAAATTGCCGGTTAAGGCTACAGCAGCTGGAAAGTATAAACTGTAAGCTTCAGCAATAACTTCACAACTAAAACGTTTATTTGGGTTTACAATTGAGGGTGAGAACTCGAATAAAAAATCCTACACATGGTTGCAGTTAAAGTTTAGAGTCTCAAACCATTCATTAGTTTGTTTGATACCTTCTTCATAATGTCTTTGTATAGCAAATTGTTCGTAAAATGTAGCTTTTCTAATGTGTTATGTAACCATATTTATTCATGAGATCCATCTCATTAGTTTTTCTATTGTCCAACAGATATATATGCATCAGGAGTTGAGGAATAGCAGTTACGCGCTACTGGAGTTGGTAAGACGTTCAAGGAACTATGGAGGCGGTAGTACATGTTACCTCGGAACGAGTGAACGAAGATGGTTCATTGTTGGCGGTAGGATATTACACTGATATAAGCACAGACGTAACATGGGATGGAAATACTGCAACTGAACATCTATTACTGAACGAATGGAATGGTACAGTCACATCTGCAACGAATGCTCCAGAAGGAGATACTGATGTTACACGGGTGTTACTTGCAAGTGTAGCCTTGTTGATCATTAATTTGGCAGTTATAATTGGAAACATTCTGGTATTACTGGCTGTCTATTGTGAACGAGCTCTTCGCACAGTTACTAATTATTTCATTGTCAATTTAGCGATAGCTGATCTACTTCTTGGAGCCCTAGTACTGCCGTTCTCGGGTGCCTTCGAAGTTATACACTATTGGCCTTTTGGAGGAACCTTTTGCGATATTTGGGCAGCTGTGGATGTTTTGTGTTGCACTGCATCAATAAATAGTTTGTGCTGTATTAGTGTTGACCGCTATATCGGAGTTACTAAACCTTTAAAGCATCGACTAATAATGACTCCAAGACGGGCTGTGATGATAAATATTTTCGTGTGGTTCATATCCTTTGGAATTGCTGTCGGACCGCTGTTTGGATGGAGACCCGTAAAAACATCCGAAATGGAGTGTCCACTGTCTGATTCCATCGGATACGTTTTCTTCTCTGTTGCAGGATCATTTTACATTCCGTCAGCTATCATACTTATTCTATATTTTCGAATTTACCGGGCAGTATCACGGGAAACCAAAAGTATACAAGACAGGTCTCGACAACGACACGGCAACACTGAAAATGGGCGTGCTGGACATGCCATTCTCCGTATTCATGTTGGTAATAAACGGTTCTCTGACAAAAATTACAACCGAAGGGAAGAGAGTATGTCTTCAGGTTCGTCAAGATCCAGGAATATGTCGCATAGAACTGCTACTTTCAACAGAGAAAAAAAGGTAGCAAAGACGCTTGGAATTGTTGTTGGTGTCTTCATCATTTGCTGGCTGCCATTTTTCTTTTTACTACCACTAAGTAAGTACATCAAACTTCAAGAGAATTTATTGAGATATGTAAAGTTACATGAAGCTTAAGGTATCGATTCTTTATGATAAAATGCATGCAACAATTAAATCAGCATGCGTGCTTTCTCTTTTATCATCTTTGTGAACATAATTATCGCTTCCTCCAGTAGTGACTGAATTTATTTACGGCAATGGAGATGGCATGGCCCTGATAACTCTATTTTGTATTATTTCACATTGCCTGGATGTAATTTTACACATCCCCCCTCCACCGTTTCCTCTCCGAGCGGAACAAAAGAGGGCGTGTTTTTAAAAGAATTGACTGTCTTTTGGTACCAACCGCATAAACACATTGACCACCAGTCTTGCGCGTATTATCGTGATTTTAAAAAGCGTGGACAAGCGGTTGGCGAACGATGGATGGCAGCGCGTTCAGTGCGAATTGCGCGTGACACACTAAGATTGCACGTATTCGTTTACGTATGCCTTGAAAAGACGCTTCCTTTACTCTTTTGTGCTGTTATCTGTAATCTGTTCTTTTCAAATGTTGCATCCTCATTGTTTCGAATCTGCATGGGCCAGATAAAGTAAACAAAGATTTTTTCACAATCAGACATGGCTTTATAGCATTTTATAACTGGAATTCTTCAACTGTGTGTTAATTCCCTATGCCGAGGGGTGAATTTGCCCACACTTTTGGATTTAGTCGCAAGTGCCGTCTTGGTCAAAGATTATACATGTAAAGCGCCGCGTAGCGGCGCATGATTGGTAATTCGGCCATAAAGGTGTTATCACGGGTGGGCGCCATTCGAGTGTGAACGTGCGTGCCCGTCGCGGCGCCTACGCCTGCGTATTAACATGCACTGCGCAGGCGTAGTCCAACCGAAATGGCGCCTATGTGATAACAACGTGTAACGCGCATTCACGGTGAAGTTCCCCATCTTGCGTCGCTACGCGGTGCTATACGATCTTTGGTCTCGGCTACGGTACCCTGCCGTTTTGAATAGGAGCTGCCCGTCTATGGGTTTATATGTCTGTGGTACCAACTCACCGCATAGGCGGGCAAGTTTATGTGCCTTTGACGCGGAGCACGCTGAGTAGGCCTAAGCGTAACAAATTTATTCCGAAACGTGTAGTCCTAATTGTCTTTGGGTACGCGCAGTGTAATCATCTGTCTGTCTGTCTGTCTTTCGCCGATTGGGGGTGCACTTCAGCTCAGGGCGGATAGTACGTGCTTGAGCATGAGAGTGAGGTTGCCTGATGTTCAGTGACAGTCCCATGAAATCAAGTTGCATGTCACATTATTGATTTAGGGCTGGAAACCTCCATCAACATAGGCCCGAACAAAAGACAGATTGCAAGTTTTGGAATTTTTTTATTACTTGAAATCCCTGCGTCGGTCTAATGTATACATTTGCAACACAGTTATTTTCCACATTATCCACTTTGAAACTAGGGCTTTGCTCAGAAATCTGAACGCGTACATGTAAAGTGTACTCAATGCGAGTATGTTTGTTTCCGTCCTTGTATTACCAGAGCATGCATCAGTCTATTTCCGTCCGTCTCAGATCTTTCTTTTCAATAAAGGTTTTCGTTTATGTTCGCAAATCCAGCGAAACATGGTTTATTTCTGAATTCCGTGTTACCAAAATCAAGAACACCTACTTTTTGGTCTTTGATACATTTTTAGGGCATGTTATTTTGAACCAACGCAATGAAGCCGCGATGAATTGTTTTGAGTTGATGTTTCCACCAGAAGTAGGCCTATTTATCTATTGTCACTGCGCCGAAACATTCAGTGGGTTATTAGTCAGAAGTGAATGGTGTGGAATCAAATTACTCATTACTCATAATTACTTTATATCTGACTTTCAAAGGGACTGAGGAATTTTCCAATACCACATTCTGAGTAAAATATCCATCTCGGTGACGTGTAAAGACACACCGGTAACTACGTGAGCTATTTTCACAATTTGCAATATTCTCGGTGGGCTCTGTCAATACGAAGTCTGGTATGCATTAAAATTGTCATGACGAAGAATGGGTTCGGTTGTAATTCGTCAGAGTTCTTTTGGGACTTTAAATGAGTAAGAATTACTGGCACTCAACTAAACTTAAATCGTGGGCAGAGGTAGTTCAACCATTTGCACGCGTCTGTGGAGCGGTGTTGTGTGGAAATAGGCGAGACAGTGCATAGTATCTTACTATATTACGTTGATGCGGTAGTCAAAACCTGATCATCAGTTCTTTCAATTCTATTCATTATATTCATTGAGCACTTTCTTCAATCTTAATTAAAAATATTAACTGGGACCTCTTTTGAGCAAACTGATCCTAACTTTTACCCGAAGTTACCAAATAAGTCAATTAAGACATCCTTTCATACACACCGTGCGTCAAAATAATATTGTTCAATATGTGTTTACTTGTCACAGTGTAAAATGCGCGTTGTGTGTCTTCAATATTTGGCCTAAGTATCTCTTCTTTTTTCTCTCATTATGCAGGATCCGTTTGCCGAAGTTGCAAGCTGCCAGACGTTGTTTTCACCTTCTTCTTTTGGCTTGGCTACTGTAACAGCTTTGTCAATCCAGTTATATACGGCATGTCTAACCACACCTTTCGCAAAGCTTTCCGGAAGATTATCACGTGTTGGTATTGTAAGGACCATCGGAGGTCAAGGAGGACATTCGGCTCAAGACGTTCCTCCAATGTGTCTCGTCTTACTTCCAGCACACCAATGTCCAGTCCAATGATAATGAGCCGAGGTAAACGATTTACAGCAAACACCCCACGCAATGCGTTAATATTTCGCAGAAAGTCTACATCATCGAGAAAATGTTTACAGCAGACAAGTGACAAACAGCATCAAATCCAGGAGGTAGGCCTACAGACATCCAATGCAGAGGTTAACCAGTTCAACGGAAACAAAATCCTATGTGATCAGCCACTTACAAATGAAAGTCACAGAATGTCAACTTTTGATATAGAATCAACTTACGGTGATACTAGAAGTCTTAGAGCATATGAGCAAAGTAAACCTCAGGATACCAGTCACACAAAACACTTTCCTGATAAAAGACATTGTCGAGGAAATAGCAGGCATAGCATGTCTGATAATAGCAATAATATTTTTGATGACTTTTATGAGCCAGTTGCAAATTCATTTTCCCATTGTGAGCAATCTCTGTTTTCCAGGACGGACGCGATTAAAAGTCAACAGTCATTAGATCCTTCAGTTTGTTGTTCAGGTATCTCCAAGCTGAACACAACGGTGAACTTCAAGCAAATTACAGAGGCAGAATTATCAAGTAGCATATATGATTCCAGAGAGACGTCCGTTTGATGTTGATTTAACTGTGTCCAATTTAATTCTCTTTGGTTTGTATCAAATACGACAAATCAAACAAATACCGTGGAAAAGCTAATATCGAGTACTAGAAATGGTGTTTAATTTCAGTGTGCCCATCAGCGATTTTTGTTTATTGGACAAGCAACAAAAATAGGTTCACTGGAAATTCAACATATGCGTATCGTGGGGAAAAGATGCTGGCCCGCTAGAAAAGGGGAAAAGAAAGAACGGAAGCAAAGAAAAGAACAACAAAGAATAACAAAGAAGGAAAGGGGGAAAATGAGGAAAGGGAATGAAAATAATTGCGTGAAAAAGCTGGAAACTGGCCCCCTTCCACCACTGAGGTCAGTTTACTGTTGCCGAGTGAGTGTTTCTCTTAAAGAACTTTGCCCCTGTCTGACAACGTCCCTGCACATGTCTCATACAGATACTGTTTCATTTGTGCAGATTTAATGTTTTATTCCTTTCGCGACTGGCGGCAGTGTTCAATGCATGCTGGATCCTAAAACAATTCTGCAAATATTTGCTTGGAATGCTCAGCTTATCATAAAACTAAAACAATGCTCGTTGTCGGATAGAAGGGGTTGAGAGGAGGGCGAATTTTGAGGCTATTAATTTTCCTTTCCTCTCCAAAGCGTAAGCCTGAATAGCCCTAGAATTTAGCCATTCCCCAGACAAGCTCTAAATACTACAAGTCCTTGGATTTTTTTATTCTTCCATCAACCTCCCCTCCCCCCCCAAAAAAAATGGTTCCGGATCGACCCTCGTAATAATATGTGGGCTTGTTCGGTGGCTGCACTTTTTTTATACTACAAAAGCTATAAACAACCCCTTAAGTAGGTTGGATAAAACTGGAACAAGTCCGAAAGTACACTCATTTCCAGAATGCCATTGTTTAGAAACAGCTTGACGTTGAATGCTTGTAAAGGGTACTGTGAATGTGGGTCTCCTTCGAGATTGTGCATTTAGTAACTTGCTTGTATCTTCAGTTTAGTTCATTGTTGAAAGGTATGATAGTGTAGTACTTTGATTGACTTTTTTTTATTGCGTTAGGGGTATCAAGTTTAACTACAAACCGCAACTAGTTCAACCAAAATACAATATATCAAAGTCTTCCAAGCAGACATTTATGTAATAGTTCTCCCATAGGAATTTTTTGCAACAGGGTTAATTTCTGCTGTTATTTATTTTTGCTATGTGCTATTTTGACCCGCCATCATTTTTCCAAGGTGTTTTGCTAATTAAACTTATTGGAGGAGAATTGAGAATATTTGTTTCGTAGCATTTGCACAACCATTTAGGTCGCAGTCTAATCAGGTTTTATCTTTGAAAATAGAAATGGGGGTGCAAAATAATGTTCATTTTCAGGAATTTCATTTTAAACATGATTGCATAGACACCACTTTAACTGTGAATTGTAGAGCTCTTTTAATTGGAATATTCCACAACTTATAGGCACAAGGCGTTTTCCCATTATGATGTCCATGTAAAGTTCTGTAACACCTACATCAATGGCGTATCCAGCGAGGGATGGGGGTGACAACTTTCCCCCTACGTTTTTGTGCAAAATCATTTTTATTTATTTATTTTTTCAACTGAGAATACTTCATAGGTGAGTAGAAAAGAAACTAACCAGTATATTTGATTGTCAAATAAATAGGCTACATTTTCCTCCCTATATTATCATGTTGAATGCGCCCGAAAGTGAATTTGGTTTGAGCCCCCCCCCCGACGCCGACAGCTGGATACGGCACTGACCTACTGTACATGCGTAATCCGGAGCGTGAACGGCTGCTGCTTAAACATGTACTGTGAACACATGCGCAACGTGTAGGCCTATAATGTGAAGAGGCCAAAAAGTCTTACAAACGTTTATGCTTCAATGTGGTATGGCATGGCACTAAAGCCAATGAAATCAACGTTTGATGTAGTTACGAGTTGATATGAAAAAAATAAGCTGAGGATGACAACACTGTTTTTGAATGCGACTAGAGTCTTTAAAAGTTTCCAACTAAAAATTAATGTGTGTGAATTGCCCAAGCTTTCGTCTCCTGTGAGTGATTCATATTTACAGTTTGTGTTATATATTTTGTTTCCATAAACCTTTTCATCTATTTATATCTATATTTTCATTTTCAACTGTCAGAAGAATTCAAGTCAGGTTCATCCAAAGATTAAAATCAGTACTGTATAGAGTGCAAAGACGTCAACACTGCCTTCAAATTTAGTGTTTTGGCAATGTAACTCTGTATGGGAAACTGTGGCATAAGGTCAACTTTGAGTATGTATTATTTTCTGTATTAAAAGGTCATTGATCAAACACGGGGTGCAGGCTGCATGACGTTTTCCCTTCAATTTTCCCCACTCAGCGACATCGATTTCTGCAACTGCATCCCATTCTTCCTTTTGTACTATTAAACTACAAACTTCGTCTGATTGCATTTGTTTGTTTTAGTGTTCAAAAGGTATTTTTAAAGATATAGTTGTTCATGTTATTTTGCTAATAAATATTGCGAGTTGAATGAATCAGAATGTTAATAAGGTACGATACAGTGTGTCTTGTATGTTACCTTTCGGTAAGTGCCGTGAAACACTAGGCAACATCCCATGTTCAAATCTTGGAGCCTTAAAGAAGAAATGAAGATTCTCTTTAACTTCTTTAGGTGCAATTTTATTTGTAATATTACAACACCACAAAATCAGAGAGTTACCTTGCACATGGCCTTGTAAAATCCATTTGAGATATCGTCGGTGAGTCTGTTGTTCCAGACACGATCGTCTGGCTATATTTTTGTGTCCACGACTTGCTCTTTTTGCCATCATTGCGCCAAGGTAAACAGCTGGGTGTAGTCACACACGTCAGTGTCCCCTTTGGACACGTAATACAGCCAGAGTCCTTAATCAAACATGACGCAGAGAGAAGACTGGGGAGTTGGTGTTGCCAGGATTATTTCAGGGCTGTAAAACAAAAGAACAAACACCCCCGCACACACAAACACCTCAACAAACAAACAAACAAACACCCCCAACACCCCAACAAACAAACAAACAAACAAACAAACAAACAAACAAACAAACAAACAAACAAACAAACAACCCAACAAGCAAACAAACACCCCCAACACCCCAACAAACAAACAAAAAAAACAAACACCCTAAAAACCCAACAAAAAAGCAAAAAAAAGAGGAGAGGTTAAAACATTTTGGTTGCGTGTAGATGCTGTTATATTCTAGACCCCTTTCTAATGTTATATATCAAATTGAAGGCAATAAGCTGTATTTATTGACTTTGAATTCTAAATGTTCATGAAAACGCTATGATATAAGTTTGAAATTTTGGAACCAGAAGGAAAATGGCTGCTGCTTGACCTGCAAATATATAATCGTGAAGTCAGAGAACCAAACAATATTCAGTGACCACAGGGACAATAGTCAATCTTCACAGTCGGTCGATTGAGCTGCATTATCGAAGATCCTGCACGAAATCCTGGCCTTTACTGCAGTTTCGACAATACTTTTCTAAAGCTGTTAATTATGTAACCCGTGGTTCACATTTCAAAATAGCAGGAACCAAATTTCATATTCATTCAATTTCCTTATGGAAAAAAACTCTTGACTTCACACAATTCAGTATTCACGATACAAAAGAGGTTTTGCTTTATTGGAGGGAAAGAGCCAAGCCAATCAATACGAGAAATACAAAGTAAATGCAGAGAACACCAGTGGCCACAAATTGCAATATGAGGTTTACAGAGAATGCAGGATCCTATGGTGTACTATTTACGACACTCATTTCTCTCTCTCCCCAGCCTCCCTCCAGACGACGCAACTACACGACGCGACGGCACGACAGCTCCCTTGCGTCGTGCCGTCGCGTCGTGCTGCCTTAGGTCCTTTCCATGTTGCATTTTTGGCCGCCTTAACGTCGCCCCTTCCGTCACCCGTCGCGTCGTACCGTCGTGCATCGCGTCGTGCGTCGTGTCGTGCATCGCATCGCCTATTACCTCGACTGAAGCACGACGCGACGCGTCGTGTGCTGTTGCCCTTTGCTCCTTGGTGTTTATAGAGGGCGCCTTTACTGTTTTCTTTCATTTCCGCCCCCCGTACTTTCATAGTACGGTACAGTCCACTAATTCAAGCCCCATTGAAAACAGTGTAAAATCGGCACTGTTCAGGGCCCAATGACATGGATACCAACATCCTTGAGTTACTGAAACACAAATTAAATTATTGTCTGGTCCCTAATCTGTCGATTTCCTTTTAGTTTATTGTGGACTAACCAATTACATTTTTAATTATTTCCACAAAACAAAACCACCCCCGAAAAGTTATTTTTCCGAGGTCTCATTGCAGCCATTTTTCAAGTGGCAACCCTCAACCTTCTTGGGCACTTAGGACCATTTTTCAGCTGTAGTTTTTAGCCATTCTGCTCTCATAGGATGGCTCACAGACCCAGACAGTTGATCCTGGCAACGATTTACACAATCTCACCTCTCGGGGGCCAAACAATCTCCTTTTTTTCAGAAAAATGCTGGGCTGCCACTTTTCATGCTATGGAGCTGACCAGAAATTCTCACTTAAATAGTGGACTGCATGCACCCAGAACATGGTATTCGCTCTTTGTACGCTGCCGCCATGGGCATGCAGAGCCTTGAACTGACAGCTTTTGAAATATTGTCCAATCGAATGGTGTAGATGATAGAAGAACTAACGCAACATCATGTCCAAAATTACTTACCAACATACACGGGAAATGCTGCCAGATCGAGGCTCTGCATGCCTATGGCGGTAGCGTACAAAGAGCGAATAGGTAGCAGGCCTTGTCTCTGTTGTTCTTTTTCATGCATGCTTTCTAACTTTGTGTTTTCATGAAGAGTGAGTTGTTGAAGAAAAGGTTTGTTTTTTAATCAAATGTGATTAGAAAGAGCTTCACGACCAACTATCAGCCTTGTCTCCAGGAAATAAATAACATGAGCCACAACGTTGCTTTAACTTTTCCTGCTCTAATTTTGATAATTATGTAATAGAATTGATTTTGCTCCCCCACTTTTTGAAATCCTAACTCCCCCAGAATTAGGTCATACAAGTGGGCAGCGCGTGTGGGCAGTTGGTAGCAGAACTTGCAACCAGCCACAAGAGTCCTTGAGAAGGAGCTGATAACGTCCCTAGCCAGTGACCAGGCTCGGTAGTAACTCCCCAAACCTGCAGTGAAACTTGCAGCCATACAATTGTTACACAAATTGTCTGGAGAATTGGGAGTACTACTTAGAAATCAGAGCCGTTCCTAAATATGCCGATTTTCTTTTTTGCTCTTTTTTCATTTTCTAAATAAAACATGACAGAAATTAACCTAATCAAGGAATGGATGAGATAAAAACCAAGAACAAATCAACACCAAAGAGTAACTAGCATGTACTTTGCAAGCACGGGAGACAAGAAAGAGACATGAAAAAAAAAACAGTAAAGGCGCCTTCTACAAACACTATGAAGCAAAGGGCAACAGGACACGACGCACGACGGTACGACGCGACGGGCGACGGAAGGGGCGACGTTTAGGCGGAAAAAATGCAACATGGAAAGGACCTGAGACAGCACGACGCGACGGGCGACGGCACGACGCGACGCACGATGCGACGCGTCGTGTGTGTACAAACGAAATGGCAAGAAGGCAACGGTTTGAACCGAGGGCACGACGCAAGGGAGCCGCCATGCCGTTGCGTCGTGTAGTTGCGTCGCCTGGAGGGAGGCTAGCGAGAGAGAGAAATGTGTGTCGTAAATAGTACACCATAGTTTATAGAGGGCGCCTTTACTGCTTTCTTTCATTTCCTTCCCCGGCCCTTGCTTGCACAGTACATGCCATAGGTACCAGGCCTTCATTCTGTTGTTCTTTTTCGTGGATCCTTTCTAACTTTATGTTTTCATTAAGAGTGAGTTGTTGAAGAAAACTCTTTTCTTTTTTTAATCAAATTTAATCAGAAAGAGCTTGGCGACTAAACAGCATTGTCTTCAGGAAAAATATGACATTAACGTCATCCACAACAATGTTTTAGCTTTCCCTGATCTGATTTTTCTAATAATTATTGAGAACCCATTCTAAGATCGTCTGCGTAAAAATTAGGTATCAGTTCCCAATTTCTATAGTTGCCTCTGAATCGCCTAATTCTCCGAATGTCTACTTCTTCAATCGCTTGCGGTTTAATGTACGCTTTAATCACAATAATTAGGTCCTTTCGTAATATTTTTCATTTTACATCTGTGGCTGTAAATTCTATGTCATTGTCTTGCGCTATCTTTAAAAGCTGGTGATTGTCTCGTGAGATTTCTAAATTGCCGTTGGCTCGCTTGAATCGCCTTTACGAGCTACGGTTTGGTGTGACTTTTTTTTTAGCGGGCGCCGGTAATGGAACGTTTTATCGTTTGGCAAAGTCTGCCAGAAACGATTTTTTCAAACGTCTAAAGTCTGATGATACCGGGCGGCGCTGTGATTCGGTTTCTCTCTTCATACCTCTTTTATATCTATATATATAAAAGAGGTATGTTTTTTAAAATTTAATCTCATTTTTTCCGGAGAGTTCATAGCTGCTCGATTTTCCCGAGAAGTGGGAGAGTCCCGGGGAATTACCGCGACCTGGAATGGGGTTCTGACGTCTGAGTTGTAAAAACACTGCGCTGGAGTCGCTGCGGTGAAATCGGCTCACCCCTACTACTTTTGGGAATTTGAAATCCGTTTTAATCAGTGTATTTACTGTGAAACTCGCGTCAAGGTTTTACCAGCCATGCCTAAAATAACAGGGCTATGATTAGACATTCCCC